CTACTTATGAATTCTGGCAATCCAAGCACAGTCCAGTCCAGCAGTCCAGTCCAAGCCATCCCTGAACAAAGTGATTCTGCTGAAGAGACTGTTGCAAACAGATCATCAGGGCATGCCAACCAACAGTTGGAAGAGCTTCCTACAGTTCAGACAGAAGGTTCTACTTCCAGCTCTCCTACTCCCAGAGTACAGTCATCTAGGCCCAGACGAGAGTGACGTCGACCTGCTTATTTGACTGATTACGTCACATGACATGTTTACATTAATTTTGATCAAACGCCAGAAGCATTTAGAATATGCAATTGAGTTGAACTGCAGTATTAATTGGATAAGCTTTGATATTTTTGTTATGAGCATACTAATCTACTAACCTACTAGTTTTAAGCATCAATTAATCACATTAAGTCTCAAGACTGGTTCTGATTGATTTAAAGACTCTGGAACATTGAATTGGATTTTGCCATCCTGTGTTATTATTTTATTGTATGTGGACTGTGTAGACAACCGCAAAAAGGGGGAGATGTTATATCCTGTGCGATGTACACGAAGTAGTTGTTAGATGTATATACAGTGTGACTTACATGAAGTATGTGTTAGAATTAAACCATGTGCTTTTAGAGTGTACACATCGAGCTTGAGTGAATTTGGAGTGTTACAGTACCTATCCTTTATTTTGCACTGACAACCAAACGGTTGCATCTGATGAGCTCAAAATTGGCAAGTTACAAGATAAGCTACTACATTCATAATTTTTGCATGCCACTTTAGACCATGATGCATTACCATGGCAACACAGCTGATTATAAATCAACCAAAAAGATTGAATTNATTTGTAGTTGTAGTAATAAAAGTAAGAGTTTAAAGGATAGAAATGTTAGTATTCTTTTTAAAGTACATGATCGTATAAAATTGTGTGTTCATTGAACATCTAAAAATATCATATTTTTTCCCTTTTCATAGGTAGCATTTGCACTGTCAGTCTTGAGGAATCTTCCATCTCTTGTCACAAAACTGAATCCCTCACTCAACTCTTCATCAGTGATGAAATTTACAAAGAGGTTGTCATGTGAACATTCCAGGTAAATAAGAGCTGTTGCAGAGGAGGATATTAAGAAATATTTTGTAATTCTATACTGTATCAACACTGTACTTTGTTAAAACTGATTATGAAAACAATAACACGAGAAAATTAGTCTCCCTTGTTTATACTGGTTAGCCTTTCCCTTGTTTGTACTGATTAGCCTCCTGCCAGTTGGTGTTTTTCAACAAGTTTATATTCGATTTGCAATATTTGTTTATTTATTTACAGTGTCCACAATAATTAGCACATCAGTGCTCAATACATTGACACTTAAAGTTATTTATTTTATTTTTATAGAATTATTTATTAAAAGTTTTAAGTTGTGCAAATTTTACATGCCATTGATATTGACTATGGTTAAAAAAATTAGGGCTGGTGTGTCGATCATAGTACAAGTGCATTAACATTATTTTGAAGTGAATGAAAAATTATGCTTTTAAGTTTGTGGTGCAGGTCACTTATTTTATTTTGAAAAATGAACATGTACATCCAGAAATTAGTGTCACTTCATTTCCTTTGTCATTGTTGTCTAACAAATTGTCGTTTATTATTATTATTATTATTATT